CAATTTGGTCCTAGGACCCCAGTTTGAGGAAAGTTCTGAGTGCCAGGTACAGAGGGAGATCTTATTGAATACTTGTTTTTTGATTGACATCAGCAAGACCCCGGTTCAGATCCTGCCTCTGATTCTAGCTGTGTGACCCTGTGCGCGTATGGCATTTCATCTCTTTCAGCCTCAGTTTCTCCCCTGATAGATGAAGTGGGAACAATGAAGAATATCTGTGAGAGGTAGAGTGGGGTAATCAGTCAGCCAGTCAACCAGAATTTGTTAAATACCTACAACCTGCCAGGCACTGTGCTAAGCACTGGGGATACAAAAAGAGGCGAAAGATAGTTCCTACCCTCAAGGAGTTTACAATCTAATAGGGAAGACAACAAACAAATATGTGTAAACAAGCTATTTACAGGATGATTAGGAAATAACAGAAGGAAGGCACTAGAGTTAAGAGGGGTTGAGAAAGACCTCCAGTAGAAAGTGGGACTTGATTTGGGACTTGGAGGAAGTCATGGAAGCCAAGAGGAGGTGATGAGAAAAGAGAGCATTCCAGGTATGAGGGACAACCAGAGAAAATGCCCCCAGCCAAGAGATGGAGGGTCTCATTCATGGAGCAGCAAGAGGACCTATGTCACTGGATCAGAACGGTGAGGAGTAGGGTGTGTCAGAAGACTGGAAAGGTGTAGGTTATAAAGGTCTTTCAATCTCCAAACAGGATTTTGTATTTGATCCTGGAGATTATAGGGAATCCCTGGAGTTTATTGAAAAGGAGGTAACTGCTCTTTAGGAAAACCACTCTAGTGGCTGAATGGAGGATAGATACAGCCTCAGAGCCAGAAGACCCAAGTTCAAACCCTAACTCTGACCATACTGGCTATTTGATTCTGGGCAAGTCATTTAATCTCGCTTAGACTCTAAGTTGTAGAGAAGGTGCCAATCTGCACTGTCAGGAGGGATATTGTCACCTGGAAATTCTCCATTACAGTGAAATAACAGATTTGGTCCCTATCCTAATGGTATCTGTAGTACCCATCTTACAGGTGGAGTGCCTTCTTTGGGTTGTCTCCCACGCTAGCAGGGTTGGGGTCCCCAAGAGCATTTGGCTGCTTTTCCCCACAAGGGCCCGGTGGTAACCACTTGAGAGACTGGGATTTCTACTGTTATTGCTCACAACTCCACATCTAATGTGTCCCTTAATATCCATTAATATTGTTGATATCAATTAACTTTTACAAAATGATATTTACTGAGAAGGTATAGTAAAGGATAGAGGTTTCAAAACATCTCCTCCAAACCAGGAAGTTCACTCTCTCCTCTGTGCATACTTGGTCCCTGAGGAGAATGGATTAAAATTTGAAGTGGTTAGTACTGTGGAGAAAGTATTTATTATTTATCCTTTATTGATGTAGCTTTATGTGGCTAAAAAAATGTTTAGCCCAAAAGCTTACTGTAGAGGTCAAGCTGACTTCAGAGATGTTCCAGGGAAGCTGATGGTTATGAGGAATGCTTAGATTCCATCCAATGCTTGATTTGGGTCCACCCAAAGCTTGTGTTTTGGATTCCCCAAATTAGATTGATTTGCCTGCTGATATATATATATAATCTCAAACTGCCCTTCTCTTGAAGACTACCTACTGCCTAAGTGAAGTCAATCAGGCAAATGTCCTTAATGCCCCTATCTGAATTCTATATAATGTAATCTCACAAAGAGGGAGCCACACTTTCTTTCTGGCTCTCTCTCTATCAAATGACCAAATACATTTCTTTCTAAAACTATTTTAGATTTTGGAGTTTGTTCTCATGATTGACAGTACAAAACATTTCCCTCAAATCCAGCCCAAAGGGTACTTCCTGGCCATGAAAGCCTTTTTTTCTCTTTTTTTCTTTTGGAGTCCCCACCAGCTTTACTTCCTGGTGTGCTATAGCCAATGGATGAGTTGCTTCTTTGCTTATCTGCCTCATCTTCCATATTGATTCATTGCTGTGTTGGGGTAAGCAGGTTCTGCTTCAGGATTGCCCTGGTTTCTCATCAAACTCAGCTACTGCTGCCATTGGCTCTGGTTGTTGGTGGGACCTTGAATAGCTTTGATGGATCTCCCAGTCTCACTGGTCTTCTGAGTATCCCCTTCTCAGTATACTCATTCACCTATGATCAGCAAAGAACACACACAAGAGAGACAAAAGAAGTAGGGGTGCCAAGAGTTCATGGACACATGGCAACCAGGCAGGAGATAGTGCAGTCTGTAATCCTCCTCACTCAGAAGCTGCCAGAGCAGAGCACAAAGTAGACCCAGCAAGCCTCTATGCAGATTGGTACCAGGCAAGGCACATTGGGCATGCTGAGAGGACTTACTTATTACATTGGGTGTTGTGAGGTGTAAATGAAATAATACCTATAAAGTAGACTTTAAAGCACTGTGTATGTGTATATGCATGTGATTGTGACATATACATATGATTGTTATTATTATTTTTCTCTCCACTTAAGCCATTTCCCTTACTTTTTCTCTGTATGTAAGTCTCCTTCTCAGGAGTATGCTGGAGTCAGCTGTACCAGCTCAGAACAACGATTGTTACATTTCAATGTGAACATTTACGTCTCAGAAACAGGCAAACTCTACTAACAAGGGCTTGATTTATTTTGTTGATTTTCTAGATTTAAGAAAGTGGTGGAGAAAATATTAATAGTGCACATTAGATTTAAAAGTGTGTAATGTGTGTGTATATATATGTATATATATATATATATATACACATATGTGTGTGTGTGTGTGTGTGTATATTTCCTTTTGGGGAGTTAGCAAACATTTACTAGAACACACTTTCCCTACCTCATGCAAGCTAACTCTCCCTGTTGGGGCCATCTTCAGTGGTCCTGATGTATATCTTGCCACTGGACCCAGATGGCTCTGGAGAAGAAAATGAGGCTGGTGACTTTGCACAGCCCTCCCTCCCTTAAATCCAATTCACTCGCAAGTCATGGTGTCATCTTCTTGATGTCATAGTCCTCTTTGAGAATGAAGGACAAACAACAAAACTCTCTCTAAGTGAGCCCCCTCCTCTGATATAAGCCCACTTTCTCTATGTAAGCTCTTTTTCTCACAAATAACCCTTCCTCTATGGTAGTCCTCTTCCCATATATGTGTTTAAGAGTTACAATGACAAACCTAGAGATATTTTCTACCCTTAAGGAGCTCACATTCTACTGTAGGAAGTTACTTTTTATATATACAATTGTATAAAGTATGCAATACGTTTCTAGTGGGCAAATCCAGGTAAAGCTGAAAGTTTCTTTTCAATCCAGGCCAAGTCTAAACCCTCTTCCTTCAGTGTCCCCTTTTCCTTTAGGCAGCTACTTAGTATTCTCACACCTCCTTCCTCTTCCACATTCCCTTATCAAAATGTCCAGGTCTTACATTTATGCTAAGGTATATATAAATAATAGTAGCTTATGACTTTCTAGAATTTTGAGCTGGAAGACACCTAGATCATCTGTTCCAAGCCCCTCATTTTATGTATAAGAAAATCAAAGCCTAGAAAAATGGTTGACTAACTCAAGGTCACACAGCTAGTATATAAGTAGCTAATCTAAGCAATGTAAAACTAGGTTCTTCTACTCCAAAGTTAGTGTTCTTCAAACGTTACCCTACCCCGAGGGTAACTGAGAAGGCTCAAAGCTGAAATGAAAGGAATAAAGCCCTAGCTCTTGGTCAGCCAGCAGTTGAGGAAGGTATTTGGGGGATCAGAGCCTCTCTTAATCCCCTGACATCACACCATATAGGAATCGTTTCACCTAGGACCAAGGTCACACCTGTCTCTGACCTCTGTCAAGCACACTATCTCTCTTGTGTATTTATATCTCTCAGGGAGCTTGATTAAGGAAATTTCAATCAATTGGATGAGTCCCTTTAGAATGTTAACAGCAAGAAGACAAGACTAATAAAACCTTCTGGACTGTTGAATCGGGGTTTTTCATTTGTTTGTCTGTTTGTTTGTTTTTTACATGTAGTATCTATGTTTCAGGGGCCCCAATCTGGTCCAGGGCACATCTGACTCCATGTAAGATTAACCAGTATTTTACAATAGACTTTTATCGCCTTTTGTTTGATTAGACATCTGTCTGTTTCCTTTACACTATCATCAAATTACCATACAATTGGAGCCTAAGAGTCCATAAAGACCATCATTTTACAGATAATGAAACTGAAGTCCAAAGCAATGAAGTTACTTACTAAAGGTCCTACAACTAGTAAGCAATACAGTTGGAATTTGATCCTAGGTCCTCTGACTAGAGCCAGAATCCTAGAATTATAGGATGGTAGGGCTGGAAGAAGTGTTGGACGCCATTTAATCCAACCCTCTTGTTTTACAGATGAGAAAACTGAGAACCACAAGAAATGACGTAACTTGCTCATGCTTACAACAGCCAGTCAGTGGGCAAAACCAGGTCTAGAACTGAGGTTCTAGACAGCAGAGACTGTGTTTCTCTCTATTTCTCCCAGATGGGTATTTAATAAAGGCTTTGGATGACAGTGCCTTGGAAGGACATAATAAACCTTGAAGGCACTTCAAAAAAATGGCACAGCCTTTGCCTCCAGGCAGTTTTGATTACATTTCTACCTTGGCAAATGAGGTATCTGAGTCGTGGAGAGGTTATAAAAAGGCTGGCCTAGGTGGCTTATCTGGTCCCTTCCAATTCTGTGTCTATGATATTATGACCCACCCAAGTTGCAGGGAAAGGATAGCCAAGGCCCCTGCCTCTTAATTCAATATTTTTTCCATTATACCAAGCTGATGCCCAGAAACTTTTTAAAAAAAAAGAGTGATAAAAAAACACAACAAAAAGAGTGATCCAATATGACAGTTGCAGAGATGAACACCTTCTACTACCTCCATTTAAAATATTTGAGAACAGAGCTACAGAATGATAAATTCACTGGTCCCAGGGCACAGAGTGAGTCAGCAGAACAGTCAGAAGCACACGAAATGCAGGGGAGATCAACACTCACCTTAATGAATATAATAACTCCTCTGTCTCCCAAAGCATGCTGGAGTTGACTCCAGATCTGATACTATTTTATAAAAACAGAGGTGCTTGGCTCTAGTTCTGCAAGTCCTTCCCTGCCCCCCACTCCTGCACTGGGAATTATTCTGTTACTTGAATTCAATATTATTTTTGTCAACTCTCCAAATGTGTGTGTTGGGAACTAAATTGTCCTCAAGCCTGTTGGGGCTCCCTGTCTCATGGAAACATTCCTCTCTTAAGAAATTCATGCAGTTTACATGTCTGCATTCCTGGCTTCCAGAAATGGACCAATATAGAATCAGTGGAGGAGAATATCAGGGAAGTATCATGGAGAATGAGGTACGGGACTAAGGGATGAGGCTGAGTGATGAACATATGTGAGAGAGCCAAGAAAAAGCAGGAAGGAACCCAAATCCAAACATGTATTTGCTTAAACAGCATTCTGAATCAGGGCTGCTCTAGGCAGAATTTTTAGAAAGAAAGCTTGCCATTGCAATTAGGTAGCTTCCCCTTTTAATGCCCCCCTTCCCCTCTCATACCACACTCCTGTCATCACTCAGGTAGTTAGTTCTCTCCTCTCGCTGCCTGGTCACTTAGGCTGACCCATTGAGGTGGCCCACTCCATCCTGAAGTAGCTGGGACAATGGCCTGAGCTCTGGACTTGTATCACTCCCTTACTCTATTATTAAACTGTCAATTTGGAAAGGATTCGATCAACTAATCCACAGTCAGGTCTTAATGATTGAGGAGAGCTTAAGGTATAGCTTAAGGTATAACTCATCCCTGGGGTATTTGCCTTACCCAAAAGAATATGTTGTTAATGGTAACATTTCAGGTAGGCCAGTGGTGGGGATGGGGATCAAGGAGAGGGGAGAAGACAGGTATTTTGGGGTGAGAACAGGGACATTCTTTTCTTATTTTTATTTATTTATTTAGTTTTTGGTGAGTGCGTTTGGGATTAAGTGACTTGCCCGGAGTCACACAGCTAGTGAGTATTACGTGTCTGAGGTCAGATTTGAACTCAGGTCCTTCTGACTCCAGGGCCAGTGCTCTATCCACTGCACCACCTAGCTGTCCCCCTAGAGTTAGTAGGTTAGACTAGCTATTCTTTTTTTTTTCTTTTAGGCAGTTGGGGTTAAGTGACTTGCCCAGGGCCACACAGCTAGGAAGTGTCAAGTGTTTGGTCTGAGGCTGGATTTGAACTCAGGTCCTCCTGACTTCAGGGCCGGTGCTGTATCCACCGCACCACCTACCTGCCTCCAAACAGGGACGTTCTTAGGGTCAGGAGGCTGGACCCAGACGGCTCTGGAGGAGGACAAAGTGAGATTGGTTCTTGCATCTGATACCAGGGCAGCTGGTAAGAGGAACAATCTTATCAGCTTTTCATCTGGGACATTTAGGGGTCCCAGGAAGGAGGATCTTGTTGAAGTCATGCTTTGGTAGATGTAGAGACAGACCTTGGTGCTGATAGAACACAGCACAATAGTTTTTGGTGAGAGTCTGAGCCTTGAGGTGAGAGAGAGGTTAGTAGGAACAGTCAATGTGATGGCCCCCATTGCCTTTGACCCTGGGCCTCATTGTTTTTCCGTTATTGTTGTTGTTGTGGTGGTGGTGGTGGGGTGTGTGTGTGTGTGTGTGTGTGTGTGTGTGTGTGTGTGTGTGTGTAGCCCACGCTGGGGGAGGGGAGGTTGGGTTGCCTCCAGGTCCTCCACACCACATGTGGGCATACAGAGAAGTGAATGATGATGGATCCATGGAATTAGCACCTTCTACTTGTCTGCTTTGAATCCATTGAATTCGTTTTCCAGTTCCTAGAGGGGCACGGGGCACCAATAACACTTAGTACACTCCCTAGAGTAAGACAGTTCCAGAACTGTAATCAGCACAAGGTGAATGGGGTTTTCCCCTAGAGCTTTGATATGAGAGGGTGTGTCCTGTGTCTTTCAGCAGGATATGGAGGGGCAAGCCATCCCACTCAGGTCCTGTGGCCATGGTTGCTCTCTCCAGGGATACTTTGCTTTCCTCCCCCCAAAAGGCTTTATTCTCTGAGAAGGGGTGGGAGTCAGGGAGGGTGAAAGGTGGAAGGGGTGAGCAGGATTGTTCTCTATCACCTCACCTCTCCCAGTTAAATTTGCCCCAGGGCTTTTTATGAATTTTCTTCCTGTTCTAGAAAAAAAGGAAGTCTGGTTAGAATGGCTATCAAGGGCAGCCTTATTGAACAGAACCAAGAATGTAAACATCAGAGGAAGCAGTAGGTAAAAGTGTTGGGGGAAGGGGGTGGAGAGGAATAGCCAAAGGGCACAAGATGTGACTGGAGAGAAATTGGCAGCCCTGCACAGAAGAGGAAGGTGGAGCTTCACTGCCGATCCCTCCATCATTCCTTTGGTGACAGGGATTCACTGTGGAGTCTCTTGATAGTACTCGAGAGTTCCTAGTCTTGCCTATGGTCATTCAAGTCAACACAGCACCAACCTTCTGGGTCATAGGCATCAGTTTCCTGCCTGAAGTCATCATGTGTGTGTGTGTGTGTGTGTGTGATTACACACATATGAATCTCCTTCAATGCCCCACAAATCATTATATCATTGTGTAAGCACCCTTCCACTTTGTACATTAAGCTCTTACTGGTAGTATTTCACTTCAGAGGCTGTGTGGGCCAACCAGTATAGGGCGATGTCCTCAAAGTAGATGGGCCAATTCTGACAACGTCCAATTTTCCAGAGACTCATATCATTACGGTTTTTGGGACAGGAGAATATTGACTAAAATAAGGTTTGGGAAACTGTTGATGCATTGCCTTTATCTCCACTTTCCATATTTAATTAACAAATATTTCCCAATGGTAAAAAAGTCAATGGTGTTACCAGATTAGAATTTTAAAAGACACAAAACTATTGCACACACTATGAGCAGCCTTTGATTCTTTAAGCCCTAAAAAATTGTTTATCCATTTGCCACATTTTCAGTGAGCCCTAGTAAATTCTTGGGAACTAAGAAATTAACTACCTCAATATCTTTTCCATCTCATAATGTCAAACTAAGATCAGAATACCACCTGCAATGATGTGAACAAGAAAAAATAGCCCATCTATAGCCCTCATATTTCAGGATATAAACTCATCCCATTTTGTGGTGGGAGAGAAGTCACTTGTCCCAATTTGGCAACTGAAGGCCAGACTAAAGCCTTGAACCTATATATCTGGACAGCCTCTTGGGGTCTTATTCTAGCATAGATTTAGTCTTTACTGTGTCTCATCACTGGGGAAAACATGAGGGTATGTGCCCTTTGTAACCTCAATGCATAGCTCTTCTTGGATTCTTGCCATTCTCAGAGATCAGGAATGCCAATGAGTAAACTCATGAGAGGCCATGGAGTCATCACTAGCAAAAATACCATGTTTTAAAAATATTCTTCAAGTGATTTATAAAAGGTTAACAATTCCAATTACTCTTGTTCCCTGGGTACTGACATCCTTGGCAGTGTCTGTGTTTATCGGCTTCTGCCTTTTGTGGTAGTATCAATAGACACTCTATTTGTGGTGGGCTGGCAACAGATGATGTCTGTCCTCCAGGGAGAAATCCAGATAAGTGATGTGAGGCTCATCACCACAGTTGACCACAAGGTGATGATTTTTTTTGGCCATAAAAACTCATGAAGACTGGCAACTGCTTCGATGAAGGGAGCACCTATGCAGATTAAACCATGCATCTTCTGACATATTGAAGTGTTATTTTTGTTATGAAAATCCCAAAGGATTTGTGATTTTGACATCTGGGGATGTCCTCTTGTAGGGGTGTGAGAACTCTCTTCATGAATGAAGATCACAATCGCTCAGTTAGTCAATAAGTATTTATTAAGCACCTCCATTATGGGCCAGACACTGTGCTAAGCACTGAGAATATAAAGAAAGAGAAACCAGTTTACAACTTTAGTAGACAGGGTCTTCAGAAGTTGCCCTGAGGCAGGAGAAAGCTAAAATGATTTGCCCAGGATCATACCACTAGGAAGTGTATATGTGTGCGTATGGAGGGGAAAGGGGAGTGGAGGATGGTGCCAGTGGGATTTGAACCAGGTCTTGTTGACTCTATCTACTCTGCCAGGCTAACATGCTATGTAAATAATAGTTAGAAGTGGGTCTGTGATTTCTTCTTCTACCAATGCAAGTCTGCATTTTCTCTGTAATTTATAGTCTTAGAGTTGCCTGGGGATAGCGAGATGTTAAGGGACTTAGGCAGGGTGACATAGCCAGTATGTATTTGAGGCAGGATTTGAATCCAGGCCTTCCTGGCTCCAAGGCTAGTCTGCTCAGCTCTCTATTCCTTAACGCCAAGCTGCAATCAAAAAGAGACAAGCCACATTTCACAGAATAGAGGATGCTCAGCAAACATGGCTGATTGGCTGGCCACCTTGTATGAATTTAGCCTCACTAAAAGATTCGACATGTACTTCCCCTCCCTGTCCCTTGAACCCTGAACCTTTTCACCCTGGTTTAGCCTCTACTGATCTTCAAGCTGAGGTCATTGCATCAGTGTATTTTGTGAGAGAAAAAACAAACTCTGGATTATACTGGCTTTTACAGGAATTGAAACGTGTTGGAAAGAGCCCTGCATGAAGTCACGTACTTATCCTGGCTTGGCTCCTGACTCTGTGACCTTGGGCAATAATCATCATAATAATGGATATTTATATAGGCCCTATGTTTTACAAGGCAATTTGCATAGATTACCTTGTTTGAGCTTCAGAACAACCTAGGTCCTCCTCCTTCCCCCATCCCCAAGGTATATAAAGAAGGCACTATTATTATTCCCATTTTTATAGATTCAGATTAGGCAGCCAGAGGAACAGTGAATAGAGTAATGAACCTAGAGTCTGGAAGACTTGAGTTCAAATCCAGCCTTAGATACTTACTAGCTGTGTGACTCTAGATAAGTCACTTAATGTTTGCCTTAGTTTCCTCAACTGTAAAATGAGTGTAATAATAGCCCCTACTTTACCAGGATTATTGTTCAAATGGCTACCATATGGCACTATCTAAATG